TTTATTTTGGATTTTGGTGTTTGGTGACCAACACAACCAAATTGGACTAATGAATTTGCAAGTAGTTGTTTTATAGTTCAATAGGGTGCGAAACCTGACTTGGATGAAGTCGACATGATGATCCCACGATAAACACCATAAACAAGACCCTAGAAGCACAAGAGAAGACCCAAGATATTAAGCAAAGTACAAGCACGAAGATGGGAACCAAGCCGACCATAAGATCGTAAAGAAACGAGCTCGTCAGAGGTGACCGGACGTGGCCCTATAAGGACCGGACGCGTCCGATCAGTTGCTCGGCAACAACAGGCGTCAGCAGCTGTGACTAGACGCTGAACAGCAGTGATCAAACGCGACGATGACACTGTTCACTGTCGTGACAATAACTCAGCACTGACCGGACGCAGCGGCACTAGATGACCGGACGCACAAAGTGTAGGTCCGGTCATGTCCAGAGAAGTTCCAGAACGGCGCACTTGCGACCGAACGCGTCCGGACGATGATGATCGAAATCGGCAATGCGTCCGATCTCTAGGCGCGCGCTCAACGGTCGGGACGACCAGACGCGTCAGGTCAGGATGACAGCAGCGTCTGGTCAGTAGCAGAAAGCTAGGTTTCGTCCCCAACGGCTACTTTCTCAGTGGGGCTTATAAATAGACCCCCCAACCGGCCATTTGAGATGTGGAGAGCTGAGAAAACATACTAAGGGTGTTGATTTACCATTTTAGTGATCTCCACTTGCACAGTGCTTAGTGATTCATTAGGTGATTAGCGTATGTGCTTTACGAAGTGCTTAGATTGATTAGACCACCGCTTATGCGCTTGCTATAGGTTTAAGCCTAGTGTTTAGTGAGGTTTACATACCTCTTATCACTCGGTGCTTGCGCGCACCATTGCTGTACATCGGAGTGGCTTATAGTCTTGCGAGATCACACCAACCATATTTGTGGTGTGGCCGCCACCATGTACCGGAGCGAACAAGGTCCGTGGCGTTTCGGCCGGAAGCTTGACAGTGAAGACAGCGGGGAGCGGTCCGGGAGAGGCTTTGCCACGAGTGGCTTAACCGGAAACCCGCTTGCGCGTGGGGAAGGCCCGGAGCTATCCACGGAGTTACCTGATCGGGAGCTTGGCCCTTGCGAGGGATTTCTTGCGAGGGGCTCCAACGAGGACTAGGGGAAATCTTGCGCGCTTCTCGATACCTCGATAAAAATACCAGAGTCGTCGATGGGAGTTTGCATATCTCTACCTTACTCTTTAGCTTCCGCATTTACATTATTTGCATAACTCCTTTTGCGGTATAGATAACAACATACTAGCAAAAACCGTAGTTGCACATTTAGATAATTTATCTTTTTGCATAGGTTTTGCTAAGGATAGAAAAAAAATACCATAGTTTAGAGTTGGAGTTTTAAATTGCCTAATTCACCTCCCCTCTTAGGCGTCACGGACCCTTTTGGCAAGGTAAGGCTATCCCAAGTATATACCGTTTGTTGTCTATATTTTTAGCATTGTTTGATTCTAATATTCAATTATTATATTTTTGCGGACCTGATATCTACTTTATATTGCTTCTAAATTTTGCTTTATATTTTTTGTCCGTCTAATTATTTTTTGTCTTATGTTTGATGACTAATCAGTTGGTGTTGAAGACCAATACTAGGGTACCCGAAGAGGAGGTAATAACCGTCAACATTGATTCATCTGAGCGGTCAAGAGCACGACTACAGCTCCAACCGACCCCTAGGTGTGCAAGCTCCGCCTCGCCCGACCTCTAAAGGCTGGCTCCACCTCGCTCGGCCTCTGAGGGATGCCTCCGTCTCGCCCGACCTCTGAGGGCTGGCTTCGCCTCGGCCGACACCGAGGCCACGGGCTCCGTCTCGCCCGACCTCTCTGGGCTGGCTCCGCCTCAACCTGCCTCTTAGGCCGCGAGCTCCACCTCGCTCGGCCTCTGAGGGCGGGCTACGCCTCGTCCGACCTCTAAGGACTGGCTTCGCCTCGGCTGACACCAAGGCTACAGGCTCCGCCTCGCTCGACCTCTGAGGGCTGGCTCCGCCTCGGCCGACACCGAGGCCGTGCGCTCTGCCTCGCCCGACCTCTGAGGGCTGGCTCCATCTCGCCCGACCTCTGAGGGCAGGCTCCGCCTCGCCTGACCTTTGAGGGCTGGCTCCACCTCGCCCGACCCTTGGGTTTACGCTTCGTCTCGCCTAGCCTCTGGGAGGGGACTCCGCCTCGTCCGACCCCGAGGCCAGGGGATCCGTCTCGCCCGACAGAGACCCGTACCGCCACCAACCACACCAGGTCCAAGCGAATGGGTCTGGGTCAAAGCTCTGACATCAGGGAGGTGACCGGCACGCCCCGATATAACCTGTGGCTGTGACGGGCCATACCTAGGGTTTCACATCAGGAACAGCGTCGGGCGTACCGGTGTTGTTCTGTCTAACCCTCGTACGAACACTAACAGATGCATCAGTTCACCACGACGTCCGCCAGGACGAAGTAGAGCGCCACGACCGAAAGACGACGCCTGCGCAAGGCGCCAGTGACGGATAGGGCCACGACATGGAGCTGTCCCTGTTGGCGTCTACAGGGTCGGCGGGACCCGCATGAAGGAAAAGGACTCGATGATCCTGAAGGACTTCTTCTCCTTCTTATTCTCCTCTTCTCCCTGCACGGTAACCCATGCTTTCCCTTGGCCTATAAAAGGGAAAGCAGAGCGTCCCATGAAAGGGACTCGAAGCGAATCGAATTTTGAACCGATCAGAACACACAAACGCACAGTCGAAAGGCGACCGAGCTCTCAGCATCCGTTCGTTCCTTTCACCAGAGACTTGGGACATATCCCTCTCTCGACCGTTTGTAACCCCTACTGCAAACTTTCTGTGCTAATAACACGAACAGCAGCAACGAACTGGACGTAGGGACATTCTGTCCGAATCAGTATAAACCTCATGTCCTCTTAGCACACCATCCAAGTCAGACGCGTAATATTAGAAATTTACTAGTCAGTGACAACTCGAAACACCACAAGTTGGTCAGTTGGGTATATCGCAGGCATGATAGAAATAAGGTGGATTTTATTCTCACGTAGTTTGCATATAAAAAGGTTTATGTAACGTAACTTCTCGATGCTTCCTCCATGCTAATGCTAAGACATAACTAATAGTATTGTTCGATGCTAAAGTTCTTTGATAGTCTTGATATATAGTGTCCATACCCAAAGGAATACTTTTGTTTTTTTTTTCAGATCTGAATGACCTGGAGTCTCTGATCTGGCAGAAAGCTTTATTGTATTTAGAAAAGAGAGATTACTTGGCGGTAATGAATTTGAGCACCTCAGTAATATTCAATTTATTCTTGGTTGGCTTAAGTGCTAATTCAGTTCAACTGCTTTTATGGCAGGGATGTAGATGAAGGATACGGAGGATTCTTTAGTTTTCTGACAGCTGCCTAGGAACAGGTATATATGCGCATTGACTCTGTATTTTCCTTCAGTGACATATATACATTCATTAGAAAAATAGCATGTATTATATATATATATATATATATATATATATATATATATATATATATATATATATATATATATATATATATATTCAGTAGCTAGCTACAAAATAAGTTATTCTCAGCGGGTTCGGAGGGTACATATGGCTACTGTAGCATGGCTTATTTTGGATGATTGAATAGTATTATGTGAGAGAGAATAAGCTGAAACAAGCTGGGACATGACCAGCCGAACACGCTCTCTGTAGCCACCTCCATTTACGATAATTTTATATACTAATTTACGATAATGTCAATACATATTTACAATAGTTGGGTTACTATAACACATGGGGATATTTACCATAACGTTATAGTAAACCACTTAGTAAGGAGTTAGTATAATCTCATAAATTAACATAGTAATTATCGTAACTCAAAGTGGCTATAGAATAAGTTATTTTGTAGCCAGCTACAGGGTAGTACTTCTATATATATATACCGTTTAATACAGTTTATCTCCGTTCCGTTTAGGCCGTTTAGATCATTTTTTTCCGTTTAAACGGTCAACCGTTTAATTTCTGTTTACCCCCTAAACAAAACAGTTTACCACCGTTTACCGTTTAGTGGACGTTTCATCAGCAGTTCAATATTAGAAATTTACTAGTCGGTGGTAACTCGAAACACCAACAGTTGGTCAGCTGGGTATATCGCAGGCATGACAGAAATACAGGTGGATTTTATTCTCATGTAGTTTGCATGGCCCCGTTCGGCTTGCCCCATATTCGGTTTGTTCGGTTTTTTTTTTCAGCCGGAACAGTATTTTTCTCTCACAACAATTCAGCCAGAACAGTGATTTTTAGCCAGTTTCAGCCAAAATTCTACCAGCCGAACGGGGCCAAAATGGTTTATGTAACTTAACTTCTCGATGCTTCCTCCATGCTAAGACATAACTAATAGTATTGTACGATGCTAAAGTTCTTTGATAGTCTTGATATATAGTGTCCATACCCAGGAAAGGCAGGGTCCTTGACATGGAGCCATATATAGGCTGTGTTTAGTTCGTGAAATTTAGGAATTTGGCTACTGTAGCATTTTTGTTTTTATTTGGCAATTAGTGTTCAATCATGGACTAATTAGGCTCAAAACGTTCGTCTCGCGATTTCCATCCAAACTGTGCAATTAGTTTTTTTTCGTCTACATTTAATGCTCTATGCACGTATCGCAAGATTCGATGTGATAGTTACTGCAGCACTTTTTGGAAAACTTTTTAGGAACTAAACACAGCCATAAACACACAAGGAGGGGAGGGACTAAGGAAGGAGCTCTCATCCAAGCTAGCAGCTCAGCTCTCCACTCCCTTTTTGCTGTGCTGTGTAGTCGTTGCATGCATGTCCTTGCTGTTCTTCATCAGTTTGTTGCAACACCACTTTGCTCGCTCCCCTTCTCCTTCGTTCCTTCTTGTTGGGGCAGTTAGCTAGGTGAGAGTGCAGTGGAGCTCATCGGCGATAGCAATGGAGGTAGATGCTTGCTACAACTACGGCTTCCCTCCTGCAGACAGAGGCAGGCACCAACCACCACCTCCACCACCATATGGGCATGGCCCCCTTCCTCACACTGCAGGTATATGTTCTTTAGTTTCTGATTCTTTCCCCCCCTTTCAGCTCATCTCTTCGCCGATCTCTTGGTCCATTCTTGCTTCTTCTCGAGAAAAAAAACCTACTTATTTGATTCCTGAATTTGGTTCCTTTAGATTTTTCTCTCACCCTTTTGCCTTTTATTTTATTTTTCCTGTAACTTCATCTTACTGCTGCTTTGGAAAGCATTTGGTCTGGCTGCTCTGGTCTGGCCTGTCTTGAGGACGTACCTAGTGGATTCAGTTCTGTGTGTTATATCCATTCTGTTTCGTTAGATGCAACAAGAATTTCCATCAGGAGAAATAAATGTCCTTTCTTGCTTTTCTGTGGTGGTAAATTAAGGAGACTAACCTCATGTTGGAATCTGTAGCTTTATAATACAACAAAAAAAAAAATTGCAATGGAACGCTGAAATGGGAACTGAGCACCTTTTTCTTCAGTACAAGGAATCGTTTTGACAGAAAATACTACTCTGCTGAACATAGTGAAAAGCGGTTTTAACTGATTATTGTTTATTTCAGAAGATGGTGAGTTGTGGGGGTACTTCCCTTGCCCTTTTTGCTACATCGAGGTTGAGGTGCCTTTCATCTGCAACCACCTTCAGGAGGAGCATTGCTTTGACACCAGAAATGCTGTAAGTATTACTACTTTGCAAAGCTACTCTGATCAATCAGGGTATGATCTCAGTATGCAACCTGGAATCTCTCTCTTCTAGGTCATAGTCTGTCACTGTAATTATTTTCAACCACAAGTCACTGTAGTTATTTTCAACCACAAGTCCTAAAAGCCATTAATGATGCTAATACTCACCTAACCACCACCCTATTCATCTACCAAATCTGAATACTGATGAAATCTGACAGACAGTTTTAACGGTTTATTACTGATGAACTTCAGGTTTGTCCGATCTGCGCCAACAATCTAGGGAAAGACATGGCTGCACATTTCAGAGTGCAACACTCGCATCTTCTCAAGGTAATTATGTTCCTGCTACTTAAGGATTTTTTCCCCCAATGAGAAATAGCAGCCCATGCTCTAGTATTTCACTCATGAACTAACTGATCATGATTCATGACAGAGGAGGAAGCCTTACAGGCCAAGCTCATGCCCTGCGGCTGCCACCAGCTCAGCATCTGGGAAGGGAACAGCAACATATGAAGTGAACTCTTACTATGAAGAGCCAGAACCACAACACTACAGGATGAGCAGCAGGCCATACAAAGATCCTCTCCCAGTTCATTTGCAGCGTCCCGCAGGCGGTCCCTGAGTGATGGCAACGCCGAAAAGGGTGTCTCAGATGATCAGAGGTAATTCAGATTTTCAACTGCTGACAAATCCCAAAGTGCTGGCTGTGCCAGTAATAGTGTCACTGGAGGCTCAAAGTGACAGCGATTTCTCTTTTTCCCCAGGTTGAAGTTGAACAAGGGCGCAGCAGCGAGTGATGATGCATCATCCAAGCTGGGACTGGAGGAGAGGCTGCAGAGGATCAACTTTCTGACGGAGATACTCATGTCCACCATTCTTCGATGTGTATCTAGGGTTTCTTGAGCAGCTCTAGGCATGTCTATTAGGATGTTTTTTCTGGGTGCAGACGTGTACCACTGTCACGTAAGCAAAATCAATTCCCTGCACACATGTACACCTACCTATACGGCTATACTATATAACCTTGGCTATCTATAGAATGAAGTGGCATATTTTGGCCATCCTTGTCCATCTTAGATGTTTTCTGCAGAATTTTCGTGTGCCCATACAGTCAAGTTTAGAGATACAACAGTCAGAAACTCAGAATATAAACTCTGAATTGACAAACATATCATTCACATTTCATAACAAGAGAATTTCCCAGTTAGTGAGTGAAAATTGGGAACCTGGTTTCTGTGCTCGCAGTATGTGATACCACAATAACCAGATCCTAGTGAGAACAGCCCGGGTGAAATATACAGGAACAGGAAGACGGATATACACACACGGTAAGGCTATTCTGCAGCTGGCCACAGAATAATTTATGAGGGAGTCACCAATTTACGATAATGTTTGTACCAATTTACGATAACAATACACATTTACGATACATGAGTTACTATAATTCAAGATGATACTTACCATAATGCTATAGTAAATCACTTATGAGGGAGTCACCATAATCTCGTAAATTAGTATAGTAATTATCGTAACTCAATGTGGCCACAGAATAACCTATTCAGCGGCCATATATATATATATATATATATATATATATATATATATATATATATATATATATCACGTATGCTCTACATGTATCATCAATATCTAACTCTATTCGAAGAGCTACTGCTGGACAAAAAGAAAAAGGTGAGTGGATTTAACATGTGAACTTTTATCCTAGGAGACAAATGTTACATTCGGAGGAGTAACTCCCATCATCTCGTAATATGCTTTCTCAGCTTCTGCCATTCTTGTCTGGAAGAGTCCCCATTCTTTCCGGCAACGCTCTCTTACCTACATAGACAGCACCAGGATAAAGATCAGTCACAGCTTCACCAGCCTCGACACACTCTTATACTCGCAAAAGGTGAGATTATCTAACAAAGTCGTCAGATTCATACCCCTTCCCATGGTGCCCTCCCATTCTCCGCCTGCCCCTGTGCATTTTGAAGATGGGACAAGGTTGACGTTAGATGCAATTCAGGAACTACAGTAGAATCTGATGGTACACAGTTTGCTTCATTTTTCCCCCCTTACCTGGTTCCCGAGAGAAGGAACCACTTGGTGTACAATCCATTGGGAATCAACGACACCAATTTTCTCATGAGCAGGCTGCAAAGAGTTTTAAAGGCTTAATTGAAGGCATGGACAAGGTGTTCAAAAGCTACTCTGATGAAAAAGGCTTTCTTGTAGCAAATAACTGAAAAAGGTGTTATCAAGGGCCAGCAGAAGTAGTCACAAATTCTCTTCAATGCTTTAACTATGCTGTGAAGTGCGTACCTCCACACATTTCCGGAGAGCAAAATCGAGACCCCATCCATGAACCAAGTCATTCTGCAACAAGAAGAAGATATCAACCAAACCAAGCCAAGTGGACGGGTAGAGTGCAGACAGTGAAATTGTGTTATACCTGAATCATATGCCAGACACATCTCCATGCATCTCTGGAGAAAACTGGAGCCATTATTTCAACAAACCTGAACAGCAAACAGATCAGGTAGGTTCCTCGATGCAAGGCAACCAGAGCAAGCAGATTCAGCTGCTATGGGGGCAAAATTACATACCCAGCGCACGGGGGAACATGAGGATCAGAGCACCAGCCTTCTCTCTCCTCTGTAACCCTGTCAGAACCAGTTTTATAAGTTTCTTTTTTTAACTTTTTTTTAAAAAAAGTTTCTGTGCCTCAGCAAAGAGGTTGGACACTGTAGCCTGGCACCAGCACCAGGCTTAAAATTTTTCTATCCTCGTGCAAAGAACATTTTCATAAACAATGCCTCCGCATCTTTATGTATACATTAAGTAACACATATTTCTATAAAGCAAAAGGATCGTTGCAGCTACAAACCAGAGCCCCCACTTACATATGAACCTGACGATCCCCTCTTCTCTTGGTCATCTGCCATGTCAATCCCCTATCTGGCTCTAAACCAGGTTGTGAGATTTCTAGTCTATATTTCTTGACAAGTTTAATGTATCTGCAATCAAATCATATTAGTGAGTCACCTACAAAACATGATATGAAGAAATGGTCAAGTGAAGATCGAAGTTACATACTCATCTCCGTTAAAATGATCAACTCCAAGGTCCTCATCCCAGATAAATACATACTCATAGGCTGCCACGATATCAGGGTGCAAGAATCTTTTAGCATACCACCTAGAGGTCATGATAATCATAAAACTTTTAGAACCACAACCACCCTCAATATTGAAACATGTAAAGAATAATAAAGAATCAGAGCACACACCATTTTGCTTGTTTCCGGACGCTTACATGGATAGCTCGCTTTGACCACTCAAATTCATCCCATTCAGTCACCCGGCCATCATAGTGAAACAACAGGATTGCAAAATCATTTGAAAACTGCAACAGCAACCAAAGGGAAAAAAGAATCAGGTAATTTGCCAAGTTATTACTCCACGATGATATGTGTACGTTTACAAATGAATTTGAAGTTGCCAAAACAAAGAAAACGGCGGAAGTCCTGACTAGACAATAGAACTTGGGATGTAAGAGTAGTGTCAGATGTAAATAGTCTCTAAAAGTTACCTTCTTGACAGCCCTATTTATGTTATCTTTCTGTGAAATGCCAACAGTGAAAGTAACAAGGTACTTTGGCTTGAAGGGTAGGTCCTGTAAATTTAAATATCTGCATCAGCAAGAATGTTAATGTGCAAGTTACAGAAAGAATTAGCTAAAACATTGAGGTTAATTTTGACAAAGCATCATGGCTCGGGTGCTGAAATTTAAGATGGAAATAATCAACTTTTATGGAAGATAAAGCCACAAAGGGCAGTATGAAAAAAAGGGGGGCTAAAAATCAGCAAGAATACAGTGCATATATGAGCTGGATAAATAATAAGACAAGAATTCATAGCAACACTCAGATCTTGAGCAAATTACTTATTTCACCAACAGCGGGATAACAAAAAATTATTGAAAAGATGCATTAGAGAAGCACACAAGGGCAGACCCAGTGCCGGAGGCTCCCACATGAGTGGGGTCTGGGGATGGGAAAAACCGAGGCAAGCCTTCCCCCTGCAAATCTGCGGAGAGGCTGCTTCGAACCCACGACCTGATGACTCAGTGAGAAGCACACAAGCATCATAAGAATTTATTTACAAGATGACAAAGGAGCAGCATATTCTAATTCTTGCTGACAATATGAAGGGAAGGACATAGCAGAATCTCATCTGAAATACATAATAGTATGAGATGAGAAGTGAATACAAGAATAGTTACCTCGTCTGGGTTTCCCCATAACCTGTGCTGATGAAAATCAGACTCTGGTACAACAATACCAGGTGCTAGGCTCTCCGCGCCCCTGGGGTTTGTTGGTACATAAATCTACACAACCAAGGACTTTTTTTAGATTTATTAACAGATACAGTAAAGGAGACAGGGATGAGATGTATTGGGCAGTTCAGGAAGCACACAGGATCGTACCTTGAAGTTGTCACTTGAGATTGGTTCAGAGCCATTTCCCCTTGTATTCCTGGCGGCAGTCCAAGCATGATTAAGTATAGCTTGAGCTGAGAGGCCTGAGTTCTTGTCCTCTATGTAGGAGACGATGCTAGATGGAAAGTGAAGCTGCAACATATGTATTTTTTTTGTGGGAAACAGTAATAAGTCACGATTGTGCAGATGCTATTGCCTAGATGCTGCATATGGAATTATGGATAGAGCATGGCCGTACCTTTGTTATGCTAACTGTTGGCAACGAGATTCCGATGAAGAAACCAAAGACCGCACCAACGATCGTTACTACAATAAGCCTCATGCTTTCGTTAGGTTTCCTAATGGCACTGTAAGTAAAGGAGCAAAGATGGAAGGGAAAAAAAAAGATATGCATCACAGCAGAGGATAGGGAAAAACGGTAGCAGTAATGAACTGAAAGGGATGGATGGCTTGCGAACCTGCGTGCAAGTACCGGAAGTTTGGCCATTGCCTGGAACAGCGGGAAAAGTATGAAACACCGAGACCCGCAAGCGGCGACTTTTACGCATTGCTCAACGGGAGCATAATGCCGGTGATAGCTGGAGTGTGATGGACACCAAGAAATCGCCCACCTGGTCCTCCTAGATGGATGGATTAAGGAGGAGGTTATGCTTGCAGAATAATTCTCGTGCGTACTGTTGGTATGCAAAGGCGAAAATAAAGGTGGAAGAGGATTGGATTCGTGTTGGTCCCGGCGATGAGAATATTGGTTATCTCGTCTGTAGCAGTAGTAACGGCTAAGCCTAACCAAGACGAATGGGATGGGAAAACCCTCCGTCCATCCCTCCATCCATCCCTATAGTACTACTAGTACTGGGAACTGGACGGAGTATTAAGAAGCAATAGATACAAATACAAATATGGTGCGTGTTGCCCTCAGAATAATAACAAATCAAATAGAATAAAATGAATGATAACGCGGTGTGGTGTTCCCCTGCCCTCTAGTAGATTCTAGAAACGGCAACGGCATTCCGTATGAATGAACGGTGGATCCAATCCAGTCTCCTCTATGCCCGGTGGTTTGGTAGTTTGCTTTGCTGACGGAATTGGTCGCCGTCGCCGCAGGCGTAGGCGCGGGCG